GATAAGGATATGGCCAGTATACTTAACGAGTTCTTCGCTTCCATTTTCACTGTGGAATCCGACTCGACACCGACTTTGGAGGAGGTGACCTCGGCGCGCATCGAGGATATTTCCATCACCGAGGAGACGATCTTGAGTATGATAGGAAAGTTAGCGGTGGGCTAGTCGACCGGCCCCGATGGGATTCCTGCGAGAGCCATTAAGGAAACCGCGAGAGAAATATCGGTTCAGCTAAGAATTATATTGTTGGTATGTGTTGTGGTACCGTGTTGGTACTTCGTAGCATTCAGAATTACCATATCTGGTACGTTGAAAAAGAATAACGTCGTCCGTGTTTGTACCAATATGCTTTGTCATGGCTGCATCGAGGTGGGGAAAACATATTCATAATATCTTGAAATTTATATAATACTTAATAATTTTTAAATTTATATATTTATATAAATATAAAAAAATTTTAATTTTGCTTTTTGTTTTTGTTTAAAAAAAATTGTGGGAAAAAGCTGGACTTGGAGCGGACAGCATAAAAAATTGCTAAATTTTTCCAAAAATTAGTATGCACACGGATGAAGATACTTGTTAAAAGTAGTGCCACACTTGATCGAAGTCTTTTTTCAGAGTCCGTGACGTGGTCATTCGAGGCAACCGTGGCATTTCCTTATTATTTTTACATCATTTACATTATTTTTGCAAAATTTATTTTACAAAGGCGATGAGAAAGTGAGACACGAAAAAGACGCACTCACTCTTCTATCATGACGGACTGGGCGGAAACGATGGACATCCGCGGCATCTCCAGCCTTCGTGGTTCTTGGAAGTTGTCGGCCTCTCGGTTGTCGGCAGGTTGTCGGCTCCCGCCTTGCGAAAGGCCTTTCATCGTCTCTGAAGTAGCCTCTTTCTGAAGGGCGCATACGATCAATTATTGATCCTCGATTAAGGATCAATCCGGGAATGAGAAGAAACTTGGAATTCCTACCCGATACAGTTCGAAGAGGACGGCCTCCGCGATGGCTACCATCATGGCCGTGGTTGCCGTGTCGGAAATCCACATGGACAGGAACGTGGTGGTGAGCATGAAACCCAGCAATAACCTGCCATGTTATCAAGAGAACCCGAGGTGATGCATCGATTTTCACCTTTTCCTGAGACTACTTTTTCGACAGACTCTCATCGTTCTAGGTCGATGCATTTGCGATTCCTTCTTGGAACGGCGACTTTCGGCAGGAGATCATCCGGATGGCAGTGCATTTTTCGAACAACACCAGAGAGTGATCGAGGGGAAACCAGACGAATAGAAACGAACCATTTATGGGAGGTTCCTAGCCAGAGAAGGACCCTGAGGGCGATCCTCTTGTGGAGGTTGCAGTGTTCCACGGCGATGGCGACCATGACACTCCCTGCAACGTACACCCATCTTTCGTTCACTCTCATGCAGCGTAAGCAGTCGAGGGAGAGACCGTGCCCTACCCATGAACATCATGCTGGTCTCCTTGAAATACGACGAGCAGACGTCGGAGGTACCAAGAACCCCAAAGAGTGGGAAGAGGAAGACTGGGATGATGGACGTGATGGCCAAAGGGGTGGCTTCAGTCATCCAGAAGACCGTCATGACGGCCACGACGTATGCACACCTTCCTTCCATCTGCAAGCCCAATCCCATAATCAGTTTTCGGGTAAAGTACTGTATTGCTTTTCTCAGACCATTCTGTGACACGCCTAGTCGAACGATTCTTCCTCCTTCCTGTGGACTAGAATCGTCTGAGTCTACCTGAACTGGGCTATTTCTTCGAAAAATGTTTTGAGGAATTCCAAAATCTTCTTCCAGGTTGACCGTAAAAATTACAAATTACGCTGTATGAAAAGTAAAGGGGAGTCTCCAATGAGATCAGGGGGAGACACCCCGAAGTGCCTTTTTCTGGGCGCCATCTTGTATCGGTTTGGGAATCAAAAGAACGTCTAGAATTCTTAGCAAGGGACATCTTTGGAACCCATCCCAAGGTCCCCCAGGAAGGCATTTGAAAGCGTTTCATGGGAAGCCCGGATGTGGCTGACAGTATGACTCGGGACGCTGGGGTGGGAATGACACTTCCTTAGAATCATCCCCATGCTACACCCTACATCCGTCTCTAAATGGTTTGTACCTACTCAAAACTGTATTTTCCTCCCTTCTTGGCTTCGACTTGGGCTCCTCAGAATAGTGGCAGATCCAAGGGGGGGGGGGGGGGGGGGGGGGG